TTTTTCCACAAAAAAATAAACGGAAAATAAAAGATGGGAACCATCGGGAAAAAACAAAAATTATTTCCCACAGAAAAACGGGAAATAAACGATGGGAACCATCTAAAAATAATAAAATTATTTCCAAAAAACGGGAAAAAAAGATGGGAAACCCTTAACCTAAGGGAAAAACTTTATAATAAATAAAACGGACAATGTATGACAGCACTCTGATTTTTTAATAAGTTGGTTTCGGTGTGAGGGGGAAAGAAAAAGTGCTGAGTTTTTTCGCAGCAAAAGCTAAAAAATCTTTAGTAAAAGCAGGGAGTTTTGAGCAGAGGGGAAGCTTCACTGGAAAGGTCACGGGTATGTCAATTTTGGGATCTTTCTAAAGGGCAATGCCGGCGCAGGGGGGAAAAAAAAAGCAGAAAGAGGGGGGACGGTACCACGGGTGGTGTTTGAACATACAAGGCAGAGTGGTAAGGCCCGGAAGGGAAAAAAAAAAACAACAAACTTCCGGATGGCATAGAAGATTTCCCTCTGCATTTTGGTTATGCTTTGCGAACGCGCTTGCAAGCAGGGCGGGTTCGAACTTTTGGTTGCCACCGGCGAGAACCGGAAATTTTACTCTTCGGTAGATTTTTAACTCCAAATTTTGTTCGGGAAGCGCTGTTGGACTATTTTCGATTTCCAACTGCCAAGGGATTTTTTTTACGCGCGCAACAATACATATGGGCGTCCGATCTTCCTTCCTACTCAGAGACCAGGGAAAATTACTAGAAGTCGATGCACACAAAAGAAAAATCCAAGTCTTCACCAAGAACCCGGGACCCCCAGCACTCGAGGCGGACACCATTCACCGAGACCACTCAGTCCCCCTAAAATCTGCCTAGAAAAAAAAGACCATAAAAAGATCGGGATTTGGGTTTTCTGCAAGTCGTGTAAAAGGGGGCGCAATACCCTAACCACCTCCTCCCCCCCCCCCCCTTTTTTCCCCCCCCCCCCCCAAAACAAATTTTTTTTTTTTTAACTCTTCCTTCTACGAACAAATTCCTAATACAAGTCTTTTTTTTTTGTCATTATGAAAAACTGGCACCTTTTTTTAGGCTCATTTTTTTTTAGCAAACATAATAAATTTTTATGGTATGGCCCCTTTTTTAATATTTTGTGGAGTACCAGCACCTTTCTAGAAAGAAACAAGTGGCCCTGACTAATCTAATTCAGAGAGCAAGAGATGCGTTAGTGAAGGGGATTGGGGGGGGGGGGGGGGGGTTGAATCAGCTTCGGATCAATTTTCATAACTGCCGTCGAGTTCCTAGGTAGATTCATACTGAAATGGGTATCGTGAAATATGATGGGAAGTGAAGGCGGCCGATATAATTTGACAACATCATCCATCGAGTGAAAATCTTTCAGGAGGACCTTTACATATGACAGCAGATTAGTCATAAAGAGATTGAAACAAGAATTCACCTTGATGTGTCAATCCAGTTTCGTCCTTTTTAGGCCCCCAAATTTTTTTTTTTATTTTAAGCCCCACCCCGGGTTTTTGCCAGGGGGGGCCCCCCAAATAGGAGGCCATAAATTGGCCAAAGGGCTGAAAAGCGGTTTCTGGGCCTTACGGCGATCCCCATCCATGGTGGCCCCTTTTTTGTCATCGGGGTTTATCGCTTGTGTGATGTCCTGGGGGGTAGAAAGTCGTCAGCATCAAATCCCAAGCCCCCAAAAATATCATGTATTAACTGACCCCCAATTTTGAAACACCTGGCTATCCCAGTAGAGAAAAAAAAAAAAAGACAGATTATAAATGCAATCTTCTAAACCCCCTTTTTTGCTATGTTTTCCGCTTGGATTTGATAAAAGAATTCGACAGAAAAAAATAAATAATGGATGGTTGAGAAAGGCATTGAACAAAACTAGAAGGGATCATCTGTGAAAGGAAGAAATTACCAGGACTACTGAAACAATGCCAATAAGGGGAAATTATGACAAAGACGGTTAGCCATTTTTGGGTTTAGTTGAGCTGATTAGTTGGTCAAGAATAGAATCAATAGAAACACCGAGAGGTAGGAGACGACTAAGAGGAAATGCACTGAAATAGTCACTGCAACCTTAAGACTCCATAACAAACATCACAGTATAATAGGGAGCATGACCTACCGCGGAAACCGATCATCTGTTAACTTGCGACGCCAAGCGGCACAAAGCAGAAAATGGACAAAAGAAAGACCAACTGGGCTAAAAAAATATACCTCTAGCAGCATAGGTAGGTTCAATGCATAGCTCCATGTGTGAAAAGACCCTATACTTTTACTTACTTTAGTACCCTATCATGTCAAATATGAAGTCATATTTATCATAAATACCATAAATTTATGGTCGTCTGAAGTCTGAACTGCGACTATCTATCGGAAACGGGTGACCGTCCCTGACATCAATATTTTATTACATTTTAATAAATCAGCCTGTTTAATTTCTAGAACAATTAATAGAGAGGACTGTTTTCAGATTATAATAACCAACCTGAGTGTCCCCATAAAGAAACGCACACTCGAGCAGTCAGTGCCGACAACATAATGATTAGCAGCTGAAAGTAAAATACGTAGGAAAACGCCATCTTGGATTCTGACGCAGTAAACACCCGCCATAAAATTCAAACGAGGTACGCATGCACCAAAGTTTGCGGAGAATGTTAACTTTGTTAATGCTGTGTTAAATTTACAGCCTCTTGTGATAATATTGTACCAGATTCAACGAGAAACAACAGATCAAGAGGTTTGGCCATCTCGTTAGAATACAGCAAGATACAATACCATCACAAGCACTACATCTCAAAAGATTAGCTACAAGAGCATTAGGACGGCCACAGAAAAAATGGATCGACAACATTAAAGACACTCTACGCCTTCATGGCATGACAATAGCCAGTGGCAGCCAGCGTGCACTGGATCGCAAATTATTTCTCCCCACGCCGCTTAACGCCTTAAGTGGTTTATGAAGATTAGTAACATATAGGGTTATATGGTACTTGTCTGAAACAGAGAATTTAAACATCTAGAAATAAGAGAACGGGAGAAACAAGATTCTAACGAGCCAGTGTACTCATATACAAACTGACACTATTATTAAAACATCCAGACATAAGTATGAGCGCCAAGAAAAAAATGTTGAATTCTGAACTAAGAATCGACATCATAGCACTCGGGACACTCATGTAAGCGCTCCGTCCCCATCTTCATTAGCAAGAGAAAAATACAAATTCCGATGTCAAGAAGGAAATTGAAAACAACATATTCATGCCAACAATGTGCTACCAGTACGAACTTGGACATTATCAAAGTTAGAAGTTAGAAATGATAATATCAGACAGACTGTAGGAACAACACCATGCAGCAAATTCATTGAGAAACAGAAGATCAAATGGTTTGGTCATCTAGTAAGAATGCAACCAGAACAACTACCAACGCAGGTACTACACATGAACAGATTGGAAGTGAAAGCAAGAGGCCGTCCAATGAGAAATGGACTGATGGCGTTAAAGAGCTTCTGTGTTGACACGGAAAGAAACAATCCATTGCTGCCCATCAAGCAAGGGATTACAAACTGTTCCTCCCCACGGAACGTAACGGCAGAAGTGGAAATTGATGATAATGGTGACAATGATTAGTAATAGTCATCATGATGGTAGTAATAAAATATTATTTTGGTAGTAGTAGCAGAAGCAGCAGCAGCAGTAGCAATAATAGTAGTAATTAGGAGTATCAGCAGCTAGCGCATCGGAACTACAGTTCCTCTATTTGCATTCGAAAAAATCGATTTTTTTTAAAAATATCCAGAAACCATGAGTTCTTAACCCTTTTGGCTCTGTACTATGGATATCGCAATCCTTCGGCTTTGATTCCATGGTAGGTACCGTAAATCTGGGAGAAATGTGGCTTCTCTGCCTACCGCCGGGAGTGAACCCGGACCACAAGGAGTCCGGTCACCGCGATGTCAGGTTTAACCTACTACGCTAGAGAGCCGATATTATCGATAATATTCAACATAATCACTATTTTCTTCTTACTTTAATTTTTTTCTTCACATTTGTACATTGTATCACGCTTAAGTTAAATATCAGTAGCCATCTACTAGTTCATAATTTTTGTTTACACAACTCGTAAACGGAACTATTTCGATTCACAGTTCCAGTGAAGCAGTGGTGAGTTATTATGTGCATGCGAACATATCTGAGATAAGAAGCTGCTTAAAGTGGGGGAGGGGGAGGGGGGGGGGCACTGTCGCAGACGCAGTGACAGCAAACCCTGCTTTTTTAAAAAATCTTTCGGGCAGAGTAAAACTAGAAGAATGGATTCCTTTTTTAGGCCCAGTTCACTTTTCTCGGTCCATTTACACACTGTCTGACCTTTCATTCATACTTTCTCAGACTCTTCAACGTCGGAGGGGTGTCTCTACACGACGACACAGCTTTCAATGAAGCCAGAACATCTAGAACTGGCCCTAACCCCCCCCCCCCCCTCCCCACGCACACACACAAACAGCCTGAGCCTACGTCACACGAAAGATTCTTTTCGAAGAAAGCAGTACAACGTGACACCTCTCTGACCTAGATCAGATTGAGAAAGTGTGTAGATGGGCCGGGAAACGTGAAGATGTCCATTTTTTAAATGAAAAAAAAAAAAGCTTGAAATCAATTAATATAGGCTGGACGTAATTTAAAAAAAAAAAAAATTAGGATTTAATGTATACATTTTATTATTACTTTTTTTTTAAAGCTTCTCCTCTACTATCAACCAAAGATGTCCTCCGGAGTTTACAAGTGACGAATGCGATGATGATGAAAACTAACCACTATGATGTTAATGTTAAACTCCATTTAAATAGCCTAGATACAAGGAGTTTATAGCAATGCTCTCTCTCTCTCTCTCTCTCTCTCTCTCTCTCTCTCTCTCTCTCTCTCTCTCTCTCTCTCTCTCTTCCAGCTGCCTATTTTTTTTATTATGTCACCCCCCCCCACACCA